ATAATAAGAATGGTGATGGAGGCTGTTGATTGTTGCCCGCACCTCGTGACAAAATGTACTTGTTTTTGTCTCCATTGTCGCTCCAAAATTTGAGAGAGTTATTGGCTTATTGCCTCCTAGCTGCGAGGATTGCTTCAATTCACCTTATTGTAATATTTTATCTCTTGTTATAGTAAGACTATTGTTGCACTAAGCCTTCAGCAAAATTAATACTTTTGGAATCCACCAATTTTATTAATTGCAATTTAAAGAGAATTTTAAGGAGGAATTTACTAATTCCCAAAATTTAAGCGTTTATAAATGCATTTCAATTAAATAAAATTTTGAATTTCAACTTAGCACCTGATATACTAATTATACATCAAACACCCACAGATTCCTATTTTAGTAAATCTTCCGACTTAGTTTCTTTTATTTTTATTTATCTATCGAGCCATTATTATTTTATGTTTTTGGCATGCCCTTCATTTGTATAGGAGTTTTCTGGACCGGGAAAAATTATTATTCATTTGTAGAATATTTAGTTTTTGCGAAATTCTACTGTTCAAGTTTTTTAGATGATGAAAAGTTATTTTTTCCTTGACCGAAAAGGATAAAGATTAAATTATCTAAACGGTAAATTACATTTGTCAAAATTTAAATTTCCATCCCTTCGTCACATTTTTTGCTCCCTTTTATTTTATTGTTGCTCTTTTGGGTCCAAATCAATCCCGGACAAGTCAGTTAGACATTTTTGTCATGAATTTGTTACATGAAGATTTGAGCATCCACTACACTGTAATGGTCTAAACTTGAAAATGTGCTTTTAGTAGTAGTCCTCTATATTACGCTTGTTTACTCTTTTCTAGTGCATAATATTGTTGATTTGTCATTATTTCTATATTAACCTCTCCTGGATGCATGTATACCTCTCGCGTGACAGCTTTCAGAGATCCGTAATAAATGGGAAAACCGTTTATATTCTCTTAAATCATCAAAATTTCGAAAATTAATAATGTATAAAGTTCAATTTAAACTGTTGCTTTGGTTCATGCGACTATTTGCCTACGTGTTTAAGTTGTGTTTTTTTATCAAGGCGGTAAATGTACGGATTTAAATTACCGGAATAGAGCAAGCCTTGTGACTTCTCGTTTAAGGGACGTGAATATCCACTGATAGTAACAATTATGCAAAACGAAAAAGAATTTTTAGGGACGAACAATAATGATGATGTAAAGAATTTTTAGGCATTAACGTACTGTTTTGTTAAGGACCAAACCATATATGATTTTTTGATTATATTAGTAAAGTACGCTTGATTTGGGTGTGTTTTCCCATAGAGGAAGGCGTCCTGCCACTGACAGCTAATTTCAATTTCCTTTCAAGGTCAGCGTCTTACCCTTCTGACATCGAGGGCCAACAAAATCCCAGCTATCTGCTCCTATCCTCGGACCTACGAAGGAAAAGATCACGTCAAATTGAAAAGAAAGAAAAACCGAGGAACAAACCAGCAATATTAATAAAGTCATTTAATACTTACAATTACTGGAAGTTTAAAGGCCACCTGGAAAAATATAAAAACTACCATTAACCGAAAGTTGACTTCCAATTTTATCCTTATATTTTAAATTTCAAATTCAAATTTTAAAACCCCAATTTTTAACCTTACACTCCAATCTTCCAATTTCTTTCAACCTCAAACACTCTCACCAATCTTTGATCTTTGTTGGCTTCAAATCTATGGTCGAAGGAAATCGCCGTCGCGGAAACGTCCACTGGAATGAGTAAGTTTTCTCAAATCTTTGAACTTTTTAATTTTTTGAATTTGATTTTTTTTTTTAATCTGGAAAAGGGTGGGCCGACAGCGGTGACGTCCGAAAAGCTGCCAACTGACCGGCATGTCGTCCCAGAAAGCCAAAATCGGCATCTGGGACGTCGACCACCGATTTGGACGGTATGGACACCGTCCAAATCGAAACTTGATGGCAGGGATGCTGTCAAGTTTGGTGGCCGCCGTCGGCATCCACGAAGAAGCTGACGGCGGTGGTCACGTCCCCGGGAAATTGGGACGACCCAGGTGCTGTCCTGGGTCAGGGTCGACGGTCCAGCTACCGTCGACTGGAAATGTGGACGGCAGGGACGCCGTCCACCTGCCGTTCTTGTTATTTTCTGGTTAGCAGCGCCGCCGACTAGGCATTTTCCTTTTTTTTTAAAAAAAATATAGTAATTTAATTTTTTATTATTTTTTAATTTTTTTTTAGTTCAATAATTTAATTTATTTATTATATTTTGTTGTTTTATAATTTAGTTTTTAATTTAGTATAATTTAGTTCTTTTAGTTTAATTAGTGTAATTTAGTTCTTTTACTTTATTTAGTTCTTTTAATTTAATTAGTTTAATTTAATTTTTAATTACTATTTATTACTATTTAGTTTAATGTAGTTAGTTATTAAATAAATTAATGATTAATTATTGTATAAATATAGTTTATTTGATAATTAATGGAATTAGTTTATTAATATGATTACTATGAATTAGTATTTTTTATAATTAATGATATATGATTTATTAGTCAATTAAATATTGTTGAACGAAATAATTTGTATTAGTGTTATTATTTGGTTATGTAATCAACAGTGATTAAATGCAGGAATCACTTGGCCTGATCAACAAAGAATAGAGTAAGCGGCATGTGAAAGCGCGAAATGTCCTGCTATCGGGTCATAATGAAAATGAACATGTGGAGAATGAGGAGATGGAGGAAGAAGGGAGTGCCAACAGTAATGCACACCAGAGGTGGACACACCTTATATCAGCAGGCACCCTCATTTGAGTAAGAAGAGCATGTCCACAATGTTTCACAATCACAGAGTGGTGAAATACCCCCCCAAATTTACGACTTCGTTTTATCCTGCCTGGAGGTCGTAGTGGCACTGGGACTAGGACAGATTCCCGTAAGGGTGCTACAGTAGCATCAGGTATGAATTAATTTTGTGTGAAAATCGAAGTTAATATTAATCATATAATTATTAGTTATTTGATGTTGAAGTTAATAAATAAAATCTAATAATTACATTCCATTTCTTTTTCAGGGAGTAGCAGTTGATCGAAAAAATCGATGATAGGTCATGGATTGTAACAGATGAAATATCTAGTGGGGCTGAGGATGGATCGGTTATTCCCAGCTTCAATGGACACGTTGCCTCTTTTTTATGGCAGGGCACGAACCGAGGTTGTCTCAAGTTACAGAACAGATCCGCTATTTGCCAGATGTTGACAGGCTGGAAGAGTTCCCCAGCTTTTGACAGGGCGAGGCCACTGGTTAAGGCGACTAGGTTGTCTCATCTTCCAGGACTGATGTTCTCGCATAATGATATCGGCCTAGCATGTGCGTTCGTGGAGCGATGACAGCCAGACACGAATTCATTCCACATGCCTTTTGGTGAGATGACCATCCTGCTTCATGATGTCCAATGCATTTTGTCCATCCCTGTGGAGGGAGAGATCGTGACGGCCGTTCCCAAGTGGGAAGCAGTGAAAAACCATGGTAAGGGTCTTTTGAAAATATCTGCGGAAGATATGAAATCCCCGAATTTTAAGAGTAGTGCTATGTTAGAGTCATTTGTCATGGACCGAGTCCGAAGTAGCACAAACCCAGAGGTTCAGGCCACTGCTTGCTTGTGGGTGATGTTGAGTGCCACATTGTTTGTTGACAAGAGTGGGGCGGCAGAATACATGCACAGTTGCTGCACGAGCTTTTTGACGACCTTGATGGTGTTTCAAGTCGTTCCTAGGCATCTGCGACTCTAGCATACCTTTACCCCCAGTTAGGGGTTGCTAGTAGAGGAGGAGTTAAGCAGATGGGGGGTTGTTTGACCCTATTGCTAGCCTGGATATATGAGTATTTTCCGATCTTCCAGCCTCATAATCCAGACCAGGTGGGTGATGGACCCAGAGCTGCACAATGGAAGCCAGCAACGTGTACTGCTGTAGAAGGAGAGGTGCGATTGAAGAACTTGCGGAAGGACCTTGACAGCCTTATTCCCGAATGATGTAAGTTTAATTGTTCCGCTGTTGTTGTTTTTTGTTTCTTAATTTTTATTAATTATTCATTAATATGTATAAATAATTTTTGATTTTGTAGGTGGTATTGGAGCCATTCGGTAAGGACATATACAAGATGGTGCCTAGAACAATCTTCACTGGATGGCTCGCTTTTAGGAATTTTGTTGAGCTATACATGCCAGATCGCGTGCTTCGACAGCTCGGTTATGTGCAGATAATTCCTATGTCAATTTTCGTCCCGCAACTTGCATCAAGGCCGATGAGTGGCGACAACTACAAGGTAGAGTTTTCTGAAATGTATGTGGGTAATGCTTGGCTTAGATTCCCTCAGTCAGGATGCCTTATTCTCAGCTCTACACTTGTTCGGCGAAGGCAGCATGTGCTGATGGTTATCTCGACTGATTCTACGATTATTCCCATCCTAAGCTTCTGCCCGAGAATGAGGGTTCTTTGATAGTCAACTCTATTCCATTGCACGCTAGTGTTAAATACGTAAGTTGTTTAATATTTCTACTGATTAAGTTTATGTTAAATGTTATTATATAACAATTATTCTTGTTTGCTTCTACGTTACTGTAGTGGACAGATCAGTGGTCCCACCTCGCTGCTAGAGCTATCAACAGGCTGAGGCTGACCGATGACGACTATGCCCCGGAATTACAGAAGGAGTATGATGATCTCATTGTTCCCTGGAGCCAGGCGCGCTGATGTCTTTTGCTTTGCCTTGTCTTTTAATTTGGACCATATTTATTAGTATTTGTTTAATTATGTTTGAATTTCAACTTAGACATTGTTGTATTGGTGACCTGTAATTGTGTTTTTTAATTATGTTTTTTAACTTGTTTGTACATTACAACTAAAATATATAACGGCAAACAAATTGAATGACATTGTGCTAAATATAATAATAGTTAGGTGACAATCTCAAATACACCAATCCACAGATAACTGGTACTCTACTCAACATTAAAGGGAGAAGACTGAGGGGATTGTGTCCGTCCATTATCGGGACATAAAGTGTGCCAAAGCTCTATTCTCTTGAGATATGGCTGCTCCCAACCAATAACAGAAGTGTCACGGTGGAGGAACCATTGATAAGGTATGGACGGAACTGAAAAATTTGAACCCACAAAATCTAGCCGAATGTAATGCTTGTAATCGCCCAGGTGAGCGATGGCAATCTCCCGAACAGGTCCGGTTAAAGGCCCATTAGGGCCCCTGGGAGCGATAAGGGGTAATATAGTGCTCAATGATGTATTCATATTCTGACCTCTTACTCCATGCCCGTACAAGAAGATAACCATGTTGAAGCGAGTGGCATACACGAGCAAGTCCATAAAAGTAATCATGTAATAATCTTCAGAACAAGGACTCTCATACCATCGTATGCGGTGAACATGCTTGGGAATGTCCCTTTCGAAGAAGAAATCGTACAAATCTGGACGTTCCTCTAGCTCATCTGCGACAATTCTTCTAGCATTATGCCATTGATGCTCGGATCCAAACAAATGGCTCGCCATAACGCGGAATCCATAGTTTCCATCACCCAGCACATCAACATATCCAGTAATGTAGGGAATCATACAAGGCACAATCCTCTCTAGGTCATCATATTCGTAAATGTTTTGCTGTACCACATCTATAACGTGAAAAATACATTACCAAACATTAATAAAAAATATATAGTGTTCGACATAAAAATTATTAATAAAGGGTTCTTACCTTGAGGAGGCCCATCAGGCTGCTGAAAATCCCATTGAGTATAGACTTGTTCACGTGGCTTGTTCTTGCTTCCTTTTGGGTGCCCCTTGCCTTTCTTCTTCTTCTTCTCCGGTTGCTTTGAAGGCCCTCTATCTGGGTAAATTTGATCATAGAGCCAACCACTCGCCCTGCGCATAACCAATGGATCTCCATTCTCAACCACACCAACCAAATGTTTCCACAAGACTTGATCATCTGACAGTCCATCAGGCCTAGTATTGATGGGACTCTCGTCGATATTGAGATTAGCCCAAAATGGGTTGAGATTAGAAACCTGAATCGCCAGATCTGCGTCCACTGTCACCTTCATCTCACAGCCACAAGGAATATCATGAGTTAATCTCAGCTTATGAGCACATACAAACTTGTCTCCCTTTGTCTGCATCTTTTCATACTCCTTGTGCAACTTTTCCAAATAATGGTGCGAAACTACAGAATTGAAGGGGTAAAATGGAAAACCACGGTATGGTATTCCATTCTTGTTTCGCGATTCTTCTAGTGTTCTCCTGAGTGACAAAAAATCAGGAAAAAATATATTAACATTCAAAAAAAATTAAAGATACGCACATGAATATTAAACTAAAGTAGTACCTGATTTCAATTAGTTGCACCTCAATCGCATTGTGCGCCTTTCCCCAAATCGTGTTAATAGCACATGTTGGTGAGTCAATCCAATTCTTTAGTGCCTTACGTGCACTCTCAACTCTGCATGTTGTAGTGTTCCCAAGGTGCAACTTTTTATTCGTCCAAGCACGTGCAAACTTCTCTTTCTGCGGTAACTATGTTTCTTTCACATATGTAAGTAAGTCCTTATACGGACTATAACTGCAATACCAAGAAAGTACTTAATCTTACTAATAACCAAATATTCTACTTCAAAAAAAAAATAGAATTATTCAAAAAAACTTATTAAGACTTACAGTTGCTCCATGGTTCCGACTTGTTCTTTATATGCTTCCATAGTTTTAGCTTTCATAATTTTTGACCACCTTCCTTCCCCTAAACTTTTTAAGCAATACTAAAGTGCCGCCGTAGAGAGACTGGATTTTGGTTCTCACATCTCTGTGGATGTGCCATGTGCACAACTAGTGGGTAGACTCGGAAAAAACATCACTGATTGGTGCCATTAACCCTGACTCTCGGTCACTGAATAAAACCTTTGGCTGCTCTTTATCTCCAAGTAATAGCCTCAACTGTAACAACGCCCATCGACAGCTCTCAGCAGTCTCAGCATCCAACATAACATAGGCAATCAAAAAGTTCTTGTTGCATGGAGTCATCCCAATAAATTCAAAAAAAGCTATTTTGTACCTGTTGGTTTTGTACGTGCTATCTATACCAACGACCAAGTGGTATGCTCTATACAATCTTACTGATTTAGGGTGCGCTGTGAAAACCTGGGTCAAGGCCATTGTACTCGGATCTGACTCCATCACAATTATGTAGTTGTGTTCCCGGACCAACCGAAAAGTCCTGTTAGCAACATCAAGACCCGTGCCATCAAGTACCACACACTCCATCTTGCGCAGTTTATTTCTGTAGTTATAAATTTGGCGCTTCGTAACGTTGCCATCTGGATACTGCTTTTGAAGTGCCTTTAGAATGTAAATCGGCCTTGCTCTCGCCGCAGACATGTCTTCTATCATCTTTTTTACTCCCACGCTCAGCTTACTCATCTGGGGATGACCCTCTGGATGTTGTATCATCGAATGATTGTGCTCCGCCTTTTCACCGGTCTTTGGACATATTCTGTACACATCGCTCGGCCATTCTTTATATCTTCTGATGAACACCTCAAATTAACACCCAGTCACTTGGGTCTTCGAATTTGGTCGGCTCTTTGTGGTTCCATCTCTATACCTCTCTGTCCTGTACTGTCCACCTTTCTTGCATTTCAACAAATACCCGTTGTCCTTCTGCGAATCTCTCACTAATTCAAAACCATTGCTGATTGCAATCTCTTGTGCCGTAAAATAGTGTTATTCTCTGATTGAAATATCTCATTAGTGTCAAAAGAGACACTATGATCTTTGTTTTCAGCTGTATCCTGCAAATTCCAAACATATACTCTAAATAACTTATTAATAGAATACCTAATTACTCTTATTAAATAAAAAAATAACTTAAAATGGCATAAAATAATAGATTTGCATGAATAAATAACTTAAATGAATCCTATTCAATTTAATTATGATACGATAATTAATAAAACACAATAAATTAACTAAATAATCAATAAAACTGAAATTAAAAAAAAAATAAAAAAATACCCCGGCCGCCGGGCACACCGGCCCAGGATAAGCGAGCCGGTTTTCACACCGGCTCGCACAGTAAGGGATGGCAGCCCTAGCGTCCCATGTTATCTTGGACGCTGTGGGCGGCGGCTAACACTACATTGGCCGCCATAGCTGTCGGCCCCTCTTGGCCGACAGCCCTGCCGTCCATGTGCCGAATAGCCGACAGAACCACCATCTAGAAAAGCCTGGACGACACGAGCGTCGTCCTGGCCTATTCGGGATGGTATTTCTGCCGGCTCGGCCTATTTTAGCCTGAAATTCCACAAGTCTAATCATTTTTTTTCTTACCTATAAATCACTCATTTTGGACTGAAAAAATGAAAAGGGTGGAATGGTATTTTTGACGGCGGTCTATAACTTTTACCATGCGGTCTGTATCCAAATAAAAAGGGTAAAATCATCTTTTTATGGCGATCTTTATTTTTTTCTCGACGGCCTTTAACACGCCTCTAAAATTATTATATTAAGTATTTTTATATTTTAGAATATTTGATAAAACTAGGTTGTTTGTAATCACGCGTTGCGCGACCAGTTTATATTTGCAAGATATTATAAATAAATTTTGGTATTAATATATATTTATAACGAAATGTAGGTTGTATAAAATTTTGAGATAAATAATGGAAGTTTGTAATTAGTTTTAAAATATTTTTTTGTTGAATTTATCTCTTTACTTTTAAGGTTTTATTTTTGCTTTTGATCTGTATTAATTATTTATAACGGAATATCTTTTATTAAATTTTGAGATGAATAAATAACAAAAATGAGAAGTTTGTTTGAAGAAAGAACAAAAATGAGAAGTTAATCTACAGAGAATAACTTTCTCTTCTTGCTAACATATGGCGATCCCCAACATTTTGGAACAAATCGATCCTGCTTTTTGTCCGTCTAAATTCCAACTTTTTGGCTAATTTAAGTAGTTAGAGGAACAGTTTAGAGCTCAGAGTGTTTGAAAAAAATTCTCATAATCGACCTTTACATAACATTTCTACTATTAACTACAGTAGATAATTTACCCAAAATGATCATTTCAATACTCTTAACTTTATAATTCACTTAAGATTACCAACCTAATAGTTAGAAGAATTAATCTGACATTAGAGATACAGACTAATGCAGAAGATTATATTAGCAGCACATAAATAATGCATATAATATTGATAGAGTGAAAGAAAACACACTATATTAGTGTAACAAGAGTCAGGACTGAAGAAAATTGATCATATGGAGTTAATGTTGCTAAGGATAGAACATGAAGTAAATGTTTCTAATCAGGTGAAGAAAATCGCATCTCTAAATCGAGTCATTGCAAGAATAATTAGTGGCTTTCAGATGTGAAGATGCAGCTCTTTGCCTTCTTCCACTCAACATTCGTTCTTGGCTTCTAAACTTGTTTTCCAAACTTTGCAACATTTTCAAGATATCCTAAATCCAAGCTACGATGCAGTATGGACTTCAAAATTTGATTGAATGCTGCTTACTTTCAGGGGCAATTCTGATATACCAACTTAATATGCATTTTCCTCCTTCCAAACATTGGAATGTGAGCATCATTCCTGAACAAAAGTTGTAGTTTGTTATCCCAAACTCATAACAATATTCAAGAACAAATCGAAGGCAAGGCAGTTAGGGTTTTCGACATGAGGATTTGGGGAAGAATCAATCTTCTTGATTATTCTGTAAAAGTAAGTAAAATATTTATACAAAGATTACTTTGCTAATGACCTAATCAGACACAATAAATACTAGTGTCTTAGCCGACTTAATCAGCCACCTTATTATATTATAGATATGCCCTCTCTATACTACATTACATTTCTGTCTAAGTAATCAACTAATATGTATGAATATGTACAGCAGTAAAACTCATATTTACAACATCTACAAAGCAAGCAGCATCTTGAAGTGTTCTTTCTTCAGCCCCCCATCAAGATGGTGCTTGGTGAAGATCAATCAAGCCCAACTTGTCAAGAAAAGCAGAAAACTGGGGAGCTGCAAGAGACTTGGTAAAACAGTGCTTAATGATGCCTACATTGCAGTAATCCCTGACAATATGGTAATCAATGTCCAAATGCTTGGTTCTTTCATGAAAAACAGGATTCTAAGTGATGTGCTGAGCGGCCTGAGTATCAAAATGTAAAGGAATGGGAGTAGAACTAGGAATGTGTAAGTCTCTGAGGGTATAAGAAATCCACTTCAACTCCCTAACAACACCTCTAAGACTTCTGTATTCCGCTTCAGCAGAAGAAGCTGAGACAGTATCTTGCTTTTTGGTCTTCCAAAAGATGAGGCATCCTCCCAAAAAGACACAAACCTGTAAGATCTTCTAGTGGTTGGACAAGTTGCCCAATCTGCATCGCTATATCCAACAAGGTTTAGACTGGTCTGAGAAGAGTAGAATAAACCCTTGGAAGGACAGCCTTTAAGATATCTTAACACATGAAGTAAGGCCTGCCGATGAGCATCTCTAGGAGTTTGAGTATGTTGAGTCAACTGTTGAACTGCATATGTCAAATCAGGACGGGTGAAACCTAGATACAGCAATTGGCCAACAAGAGTTCCATAAGTGAAAGGATCAACAAGTAAATCTCCACAATCTTTATCATTAGTAAAGTGATGACCCTTTGGTAAAGGTGTCTGTGCTGCCTTTCATCCCAAGAGACCAGCTCGTTTTAGAATGCCAAGGATATATTTCCTTTGATTCAGATACAATCCTTCTGTACTTCTTGCCAGTTCAATCCCCAAGAAACATCTTGCTGGTCCAAGATCCTTGATGGTGAAGGCTTCATGCAGGAATCTTTTGATTGCAGTGATGGCTGTAACAGAAGAACTTGTGGTGAGGACATCATCCACATAGACAAGTAACGCCAAGAATTCTCCTTGAAACTGCATAGTGAATAGACAAGGATCACTATGGGATTTCTGCAAACCAAAACTCTTCAATTTGGCTGCAAACTCCAAATGACATTGCCTTGACGCCTATTTCAGGCCATATAATGATCTCACTAACTTGAAGACTTGATGTGGCTGTTCTTTAGTGTAACCATATGGCAGCTTCATGTAGACATCTTCATATAAATGACCATGTAAGAGGGCATTATTAATGTCAATATGATGAAGATGCCAATCATGTGCAGGTGCAGCAGCAAATAATACCCTAACAGTCACCATCTTTGCAACAGGAGAGAAACTGTCAATGTAATCTATCCTTCTATTTGATTGTAACCCTTAGCTAGCAACCTTGCTTTATACCTTTCAACTGTTCCATCAGGCTTGTAGTTAGTTTTGAAAACCCATTTACAATCGATAGCTTTCTTCCCTTTTGGAAGATCTGTGAGATCCCACGTATGATATGCTTCTAAGGCATCTAACTCAGCATTCATGGCTTCTATCCACTCTGGCTTAGTGCTGGCCTATGCATAGCTTACAGGATCTCGTGCTTGGCTAACATTAGCTAGAAGGCTAAATATTCAGGTCTAAAACAAGGATTGGAAGTATATGGAAAGGTAGTTGGAGTATGACTAGAAGAATGAGGTAACACAACAGAAAATATGTTTGCTAGATGTGAAGAAGAAGAAGGTAAGTTGATATGATAATTCTGAAGTTTTGTAGGAAGTCTGGTGACTCTAGTACTCCTTCTGAGAATATGATGATCAGGTGAAGG